ACTTCACCCTGAGTCATAAGGAAAAGGGGATGGCGTATTCTCTTAGCTACTTCCTGCTGAAAAGGGACGCTGTGGGTTTCAGGGTGAAGATCTTCTCTCTCTAGTGGTTAACATTTGTTTTGTGTATCATGCAGCTCTATCATTTGGTGCATAAATATTAAGGGTGTCCTCTTTTCTATTGACTCTTTAAGCATTGTTGTTGTTTGTTGTTATGTGCCGTTGAGTCACTTGCGACTCATAGTGACCCTGTGTACAACAGCCCTGAAACCTGCTCTATGCTTTACCAACTTTACTGTCTCTGACACACCTACCCTCATTACCCCAGTCCTTGTGTCCATATCATCAAGGATCTCCCTCTGTTTCTCCATCCTCCACCATTTTGAGCATGATGTCCCTCTTGCAACATACTCAAAGTATGTCATATGAAGCCTCAGAATCCTTGCCTTCAAGGAGCAGCCTGGCTTTATCCTCTCTTGGACAAACTTGTTTGTTTTCCTGGAAGTCCATAATCAACACTCTTCTCCAACAGCACAGATCAAAAGCATTAGTTCTCTTTCTATCATCTCTAGTCATTGTCCAGCTCTCTGACGCATAGCAAGCAATTGCAGAGACTATGATCAGATGTACCTCAGTCTCTAGACTGACATCGTTGCTCCTCATGACACTGGATAGGTCCCTGACAGCCAACTTTCCCAATGCCATTAGTCTTTTGATTTCCTGGCTGTTGGTACAAAGAGTGTTGATTGTGGAGCCAAGCAAGCGGAAGCTATTAACAATCACAATCTCGTTACTGTCTATCCTTGTTGCCAATTGGCCCAGTGGTGAGAATCTTTGTTTTCTTGATGTTGAGCTTCATATTCAAGGCTTAAGTGTTTGATCTTCAGGTCCTCCTCAGTTTCAGCAAGCATGGTTGTATCATCAGCAAAATACAGATTGTTGATGACACTTCCTCCAATTCTGATGCCACATTTCTCCTCATACAGCCCAGCCTCCCAGACGATCTGTTCCGCATATAGATTGAAAAGGTATGGAGACAGAATACATCCCTGGTATACACCCTTCCCAGTTTTGAACCATGCAGTGTCTCCTTGCAAAGCATTATATAATCTTATTTATCCTGAAGTCTGTTTTATCAGACATTAATATTGGGTTTTTTTTAAATTGCCATTTACTTGGTGTATTTTTTCCACTCTGCTTTTTTATCTATTTATCCTTGCTTCTCAGTTGTGTCTTGCAGACATCAAAGGATAGATTTTTGTGGTTTTATTCATTTTGCTACTCTTTTTCTCTTGACTAGTGCATCTAAACTGTTCACATTCAATGTGATTATCAATAGGCAAAATTTATTAGTACTATTTTGTTGTGTTCTTTCTGTTGTTACTGATTATTTTATTCACTTTCAATGCTGTCTCTGTATGAACTATTTCCTTTAGTATTTCTTGGAAAGTTGGTCTTGTTTTTACAAAGTTCTTTAGTCTCCACTTTTTGAAGAATGTCCCCATTTCTCTGTTATATTTGCTAGCTAGTTTCACTGACTGCAGGCTTCTCGGTTGCTGGCTCTTCCCTCTCAGAGTTCTGGAAGTGCAGTCCCCTTCTCTTGCTGACGTGGTTTCTGTTAAGAACACTGAGCTCTATCTTACTGGTTGTCCTTTGTAGTTAACTCTTCCTTTTTCTCGAGATGCGTTCATTATTCTATCCTTATCTTTGATTTTCAAGAATTTGATTATGGTATCTCTCTCTGTTTTTCTTTGGGTCTGGCCTGTTAGGGGTTTGCTCAGCTTCTTGGGTTTGTTTTGTTTTTTTTTTCATTTTTTATGATACTTGGCAACTTTAGCACATAATTTTTTCTTGGTGCCTCTTTTCTCTCTTCTGGAATTCCAGTTGCATGTATGTTATTCCCCTTGATGGTATCCCACAGAATTCTTACGCTTTCTTCATTTTCCTTCCTGCTTGTTTCTGCCTTTTCCTTTAAGAGAGGAGTGTTTAGGACTTGGTCTTTGTTTTGGTGATTCTGTCTTCCTTTTATTTGACTCTGCTCTTTTGTCCTTCCAGCATTTGAGACCTTCTGCAGTGTTGGTTTTATTATTCCAACTTATAGTTTCTCTCTCTCTCTCTCTCTCTCTCTCTGTGTGTGTGTGTGTGGTTTTTAATAGTCCTTTGGTTAGATCTGTTTTGTCTTTTATTGATGTTTTTAAAAGTCATCTTATTTCATTAATAGTCCTCTAGTACCAACCACAGGGAGGGTGTTACGTGTTGGGTTTCTTTAAATAGATAAATAATTTAAAATTATTCTTGAATTTTGCCTGTGGTTTCAAGTTCTTTGTATTTTTCTTTAATCCTGTGAGAACACTTCAACACTGTTCTTCTTAATTCCCTCACACAGTGACTGGGGCAATAGGGGTAGGTGTGTCGGAGACAGATTGTTTTAGAATAGGACAGCATTCAGAGCTATTGTGCATGGGTCACATGCAACTTGATGGCACATAACAACTACGTGCATTAGAAAGTTGGACAGTGACTAAGGATGATAGGAGAAGATTTGATACTTTTGAGTTGTGGTTTTGGAGAATCTATGAACTGTAAAAAGAACAAACAATAAATATGTCTTAGAGCAAGTACAACCAGGGTGCTGTGGAGAGGCAGGGATGGTGAAGCTGTGCCTCACATGCTGTGGGCATTTAGTTAGGAGGGGTGAGTCCTTGGAAAAAAGTATTATTCTTGGAAGGTGGAGGATCAGTGAAGGAGAGGGAGTCCCTAAGAAGATGGGTAGAAACAGTTACTGTAGCAGTAGGCTCAAGTATATCAGAGATAGTAAGGATGGCACAGGATAGGGCAGGTTCACAAGTGTTCCTAGGGTCCCTGTGAATCGTAGTTGACTTGACAGCACCTAACAACAACAGCTGTGCCTTCATGTCTGATTTTGCTCTTGGTAATTTCCCCCAGGTTTTATAGTATTTGAATTAATTATCTCTGAGTGGGCTCAGAATAATCCTGCTGAGTCCCTATGGAAGAGACACTGGTTTGCTAGCCTGACTAGTTCGCCATCCTACTGGATGTATCTCTAGGAATTTTTTTTTTGTCTTCCACATTAATTGTTCCCAATAATGTTTTTGGAAAAGGTTAAAGCAATAACAAACTAGAATAGTAGATATATCTGAAAGGGTGAGGGCACAGTGGGAGGCCACTTTGAAGGTCTTCACCATCCTTGGCTTCTCATTGTGATACTGAGCTTTGAAGTGTTCCAGAAAGGCATAACTCATCTAGAGATTTCTTGGCACCGTCTCTGGTTTTGTTTTTTTTTTTTTTTTTGGTTAATTTTTAAGCTTTCATAGAACACAGTAGGAATTTGAGATTTTTCATTTTTGTCTGTGATCGAGGCTGACATGTTTTTTGGCATGTGATTGAGGCACAGGCAGTGTTTGTGTACCTTCAGTGCTAGGGAAATAGTTGTGCTGTGGTGCTTGTTACAGTTGCTAATAAAGTACTTTTTACAGTCTTTATTCTTTTGTCAAGTATTTGTAAAATGATTTAATAAAAAAATTTAAAGAGTGTTCAGGCCAGGTGGACAATGGTAACCTCTTTTCCTTGACTGGCTGAAGGTAGTGGGTAGTATAGGAGATGTAGGGTAGTATATGGGAAGACTTAAGAGTCTAGGTTGCTCTCGTTGGTAGCTTGGGCCCTGGCTGCCTGTTGTGAATCTGAGTCCTGAGCCCACAAAATCTCTAAGCCTCTGCATCTCCATCTGTGAAATGTCACTTTTGTAGATTTATAGGGAGTGAGGGTGTGTGTGTATGTGTGTGCGTAATGTCCATTCGACAGGGTACACAGGATACTGCCCCAAAGAGAAGCCTAGGAAGGGGTCAGGCCCTGGATAGTCACCTGCCATGCACACTGGGAGGTTTAAGAATTCACTGATGTGATTTCTTTTCAAATTTCTTGCAGAAATATCGTCTCCACGGTAAATCTTGGTTGTAAACTTGACCTAAAGACCATTGCACTTCGTGCCCGAAATGCTGAATATAATCCCAAGGTGAGAACTGTTGTAGTATATTTCAGAGAATATGACAAAGAAGAATTTACATTTAAGGGGTCAGGAGTATGCTGAGCTTCTCCACACAGAGGCCCTCAAGCAAGACACTCTTGGCAGCACTTAGAGAGTGGGGTCATTTGTCTGATGTTTACTGAATGTTTGCCATGTGAGAGGCCTGACTTCACATGCTCCCCTTGTCAGAGCAGGCTGTGTCTCATCTACACAACAGTGTAGAACTGAGGACATGTTTGAGGATTCCTCCCAAGTGACGCATCAGGGAGCTAGAGCCAGGGTCAGATAAGGCTGGCCAGTGTTGATGGAGTAGGATAATTAGGACAAACTAGATGATGGAGGACCCCTGACAGGCTGGTGTAGATACACTGTGATTGCTGTGCTGTTTGCCTGCTGACACAGGAGGCTAGCATATTCAGGGGTTTTTCCCAACAAGGGGCAGAGAGATTTAGGCACAGATGATCTTACCATGTCGCAGTCCTTGCTAATAAAGTTCTTTGATGATTGTAGCGGTTTGCTGCTGTGATCATGAGAATAAGAGAACCACGGACCACAGCGCTGATCTTCAGCTCCGGGAAGATGGTGTGCACTGGTGCCAAGAGGTAGTAGCTCAGGGTTTGCTCTGGAGGGACTATTGGATCAACCCATTAAAGTATTTCTGCTATATTCTAACATCTGGCTTTAGCCACTTGAGACAGCAGGGATGGACTTTGTTCAAGTGGAGCATGCATTTTGGAGAGGGACAGTGTTTGTTAACCAATGCTGGGTGGCATTTTGTGAGTTGTGATATCGTGGATCATTCAAAATGTGAATAAAGACCCCTTTTTTGAAAGAAAGTGATCCAGAACCATGACATGTAAGAGCCACAAGGGCATTATGGTCCTGGCTCCTGTGAAGCTTGCTGGTGTGGTTCCAGTTCTGTGAGAACTGGCTGTTACCCATGGGTATTGGGGACACAACAGGACATGAGGTCTATGCCCTTCCAAAAACATGGCTGTCCAGCAGGGTGCCAGTAAGATGGCTACATGTGGTAGATGAGAAACAGGATCAGTAATAAGTGTCGTAAACCCCAAGACCAGATGAACAAAGCTAAAAGCCTTAACGGGGTCACAGTATGTATGGGGGTGCCCATGTATCTTGTGGATGCTTGAGTTGGCCCACCACACTGCATCTCTGCAAGCACAATCGGCCAGTGCACTGATAGGTGTCACTGTTTGGGGGTGTCACCTGGCCCTCTAGCCTAGAGTATTTACAGACTTGTATCTGCGAGGATGGTTCTTTAGTCAAGACAGAAACCATCAGGAATGACTTTTCCTTGAATAGGGGAGTAGGTTGTCCATAGTGAAGCTGAGGCTGGATCATTGCCCATAATCTCGGTGTCACTGGGCTGTGAGAGTAGATCGTCTCCTTGCACTTCTTCAGGAGACAGATTCCTGATTGGAGTGTTGGAGTGCGGGGAACACCTCTTCTCAGCTCCATAATTCTAGGCGCTCAGGAACTTGGGGACACAAAGGCGCCATTTGAGCCCTATATTTCTGTCAGGGAGTACTTCACGCTGAGTTATTCAGATGTGACCTCACTCTTTCCTCCTCAGTGAAGAGCAGTCCCGGCTAGCGGCAAGGAAGTATGCCAGGGTCGTGCAGAAGCTGGGCTTCCCCGCCAAGTTTCTGGACTTCAAGATCCAGAACATGGTGGGAAGCTGCGACGTGAAGTTCCCCATCCGCCTAGAAGGCCTTGTACTCACCCACCAGCAGTTCAGCAGGTGAGTGCTTTGTCAACATGTCATGGGCAACGTGGAAAGGTACCTTAGGTGGTTCAGCTCCTTGGCCAGGGTCATGTTTACTTGCCCTTTATCCCCTCCCATTGTGTCATTTGGAGCTCTCCTTTGTGGGTACAAATCTGACATCCCTCTACTTTTAATTTTATTGCTCAGTAAAGAGGTTTAAACAGATGAATTGAATCCACAACCTCTAGTAGCTCTTTTTTTAGTTGTTTGAATCCTGGTCCACAACAGACCTACCCCCAGAGTGTGAACCTGAGCGCTAGGAATCCTCTTCACCTATTTATCCTGCTACCTTTTGGTGAGAATCGAAGCAGTAAAGGCCCTGCCAGCCCCCCAGCTCCTGTTGATAAACACCTGTCCTCAGCTGTCAGTTGGCACCAGGTCCTCAGAGACGCTGTCCTGAGGCTGTACTGGGCCCCATACACCCACACTGACCCATAGAAAGACCACTTAGGATTTGGTGGAATCTGCCTCAGACTAGTGCCTGTTCCACAGTTGGTTACTTGTCAGTGTTAACAGCTAGAGGACATCTTGTGTGAAGAGGAGACAGGCCTTTCTGGATCTGGAATGCAGGGCACTTCTTCAGAGAGCAGCAGTGGAAGCACAGGAGTGAGGGGAGTGGGAGCCTGGTGACAAGTGGCCTTGCTGAACTTGCCCTGCCGTGGCTCTTCAGCTGTGTGGGTCGTGAGTCTGCAGTCCAGGAGCATTTGCCTGGGCTTTACTCTCCAAACTATGATTGCTTTTACTTTTTCTCATGGCCACTTTCCCCCTAAGGATGCTTTGGTTGCTATAGGAAGAACAAGGCCATCTTGGCAGGGCAAAGCAGTCAGCTCAGGGCTCAGAATCTCATGATGGCATGGGGGGAGGGGGGCTTTAATATAGGTCTAATTACTTGTGCCGTCTGACTACTTGATCTAGGCAGTAGGCCAGTTCCTTCTCCATATGTGGATCTCCGTGACTTCTTCACATGTGGGTTCCTTGGTTTCACCTTCAAATGTGGGGTGCTCTGTTCCTTCTCAGTGTGGATCCCTTCTTTAGTGTTTTATGTAGGCGACTCTGTCTTTCAGTGGGGGTGCTGCATTCCTTTTGTAATTTGCTCACTTTGCTCAGTTTTGTAAAATGGCTCATTGATACTCACATTGTATGTACCATATAGACTGTCAGCTTAGCTTGTCTTGCTGTTTTCTAAATTAGAATTTCTTTAAATACATATTTACAAGCTTTTTCGCTTGTGCTTAATTTATTATTATGTTCAAAAAGTTTAAATCAGTGACTTGAGACTCCTCTCTTTGCCTTCAGGATTATGGCTTCCGAATGCATGGACTGGGAGCCACAGCGGGGGCTTCATGGTGTGGTGGGAGGGGCTCCGGGTCGAGGGCTGGCTGGCTGCCTCATGGCCATGTTTCATTCCTAAGCAGTACTTGTTATTTCCTTGCAGCTATGAGCCAGAGTTGTTCCCAGGTTTAATTTATAGGATGATCAAGCCCAGGATCGTTCTTCTTATTTTTGTTTCTGGAAAAGTTGTATTAACAGGTAAGTCATGAGAAGACATTGAGTCTGAACAAGCTTCAGGGCAAGTGATTTTCTCTGTGCTTTGTGTTTGTTGCATGCCTCTGAATTGGAACTGATGCATAGCTGACCGTCCAGCATGTGCTCTGAGGCTGTAAATGAACAGGAGGAACCTGCCTGTCTTTTGTGTCATGCAGCAGCTGGTGGATTCACTGCCTTTAGGTTCATCAGGCCTTAGAGCTCCTGGGCTTGGTGTGCACTGGGAGGTTATTCCAGTGTGGGATGTTGCTGGCTGCCTGTTTGCTGTGACTCCAACCTTCATGCCCTTAAGTGAAAGAGGTGTAAGGGAGTGGGAGTAGGGAGGTGACCACAATTACAGATCCTGTAGGAAGAGAGAGGCTCACTGAATGAACAGTGGTCATCACTATGGTATTCTGGGGGCCAAGGTCACTAGTGCCCCATGCTGTCCCTCAGGCCATAGGGTGGTCAGAGAGCTGAGGTCACCAGCACTGCATCAAAGGGTAGTCTAGGGGCCAGAGTCACCAGCCCTGCATTCCCCGCGCCCCGCCCCCCCAATCACAGGGTGGTCTGGGGCTGTGGTCACAATAAGCACTGCTTTCCTCTCGGCCACAGGGTGGGGCATGTTAAAGAGGTTTGTATTCTTATTGGTCCCCATGCTGTCTTGCCTCTTCAGGTGCTAAAGTCAGAGCGGAGATCTACGAAGCTTTTGAGAACATCTACCCAATTCTGAAAGGTTTCCGGAAGACCACATAATGGTTGCACTACGCCTGCATCCCCATGCACCCCAAGCAAGACCAGCTGGCCCTGCTGCGAATTACTGCTGTGGCTCAGGCTCCTGCCAGGGGGCTGTGGATGCAGGTGGCCGAGGTGGCCACCTCTGGGAGCCACTGACACACAGCAGCCCTTGGCAGAAGTTCATTTCAAACCTCACTGCTGTTGACAAGCGGCTTAGTGGATAAGCGTCCAGTGTTAGCCACCTCTACGACGGATTGGACTTTTGTTTTCCTCATCAACCAGTTTTGTATTTCTACCAGGAGAGTAAAGATCTTTTATAAAAGTGTTGTTTCTCTAGTTTGTAATGACCAGGGTTGTTTTGTATGACAAATTCCACCTTGCAACACAGGTAGTTGCATAGACAGGACAGTTGGGTGCTGTAGGATTAATGTTCTTCACTCTTGTCAGACTTCATGCTGACAGATGCTAGACTCACTGGCCACCAGTAAGAAGCAAGCTGTCTGAAATCAGGATCATCTGACAAGTTCCCCATCCCTCTGGGCTGCCAGTACTCATTCGAGACCGGCTCTCACCACCACCTCCACAAGATTTGTTTCCTGTGTACCCATGCCTGTACCTGTGTGTTACTGCACGTAACATGTACATGTACACATCCATGCACATGCTGCCAGGCCGATGTGCACCAGTATGTTGCGTGCATGCCTGCATGTGTACACAGCACTAGTACATGTGTGCAGCTAGGCCTATTTGCACTTGTTATGTGCGTATCACAGCATGTGTACACAGTACACATGCCATCAGGCCTGTGTACATGTTATACACACATCACATAGACACAGTACACTCATGTGCAACCAGGCCATGTACCTTGGTATGTGCACAATATATATATGTGTTTGCAGCCAGGCTGTGTGCACCTACTTACATACTTGTCATAGCATGTGTACATAGCACAAATGTGCATGCAGTTAGGCCAGCAGAAGCCCCAAGGTCGTATGCTTTGTGCTGTTTTGTGAGAGGCTTTAAGTACAAATGCTCAGGATGTATAGAAGAATGCAAAGGCCCTAAGTCAGAGTAATCACTACTGTCGCTGGTGTTGACACTAGAATGTTGTGTCAGCAGAGTGCCTAGTGGTAGGAAGGGACTGATGACACTGACATGACAGACCTTTGGGACAAAGATCCTTCCCTCAGCTTAGAATTGCCAGCTTTAGCAGTGTCTGGGGCCAAGTGTATTGCCCTGGATAACCACGTTAGGATGACTTGTACTGCCATGCCCATGACGCCTTGCTGTGTGATCACAAGGGCTGGGCCTCCTGCTATACTTGGTTGTGGACATGGGCCAAGTGAGGTGAAGCCTTTTTCAGACAAGATGTTTTCTCACTTGGTCCTGTTGTTTCAGAACCAGAATATGATGGTCCATGTTCCTGGGACCCATCCCCTCAATTCTACAGCCTATAACCTATGTCTTTAACTCTGCAGTCTACATAACCTGTTCCTCACACCCATTTCTATCTACTCAGTTCTGGGGTTCCTTACCTGCCTACCTACTCTCACCTGCTCCCAGGACTTGGGACCTCATCCTCCTTCCCCTCCCTGCAGCCCACATTCCCGGGCCTGTCAAGTCTCCCCAGCTTAGGAGTCTGCATTGCTGTTGTAAGCTTCCACACACACTGGCAGCTTTTAGCAGGCATTTGTCAGGGTATGTTAATCCAAAGTACTGTTTTTACTTTGTAAAACTTTGTCGTCCTTAGGTGCCATTGAGTATGACGCACAGCAACCCGTGAAACAATATATTTGAATGCTGTCCTATCCTGTGCTATCCTCGTCGTTTTTGACATATTTGAGCCCGTTGCTGTAGTCACCATGCCAGTTCATCTTACCGAGGGTCCTTCTCTCTATTTTGCTGACCCTCCACTTTTCCAGGCATTATGTCCTTTTCCAAGAACCGGCCCCTCCTATCAACATGCTCAAAGTATTGAGATGAAGCTTTGATATTCTTGCCTCCAAGGAGCACTCTGGCTGCACTTTTCCAGGCCGTATCTTGCTTGCTCTTTTGGCAGTCCATGGGATATGAGTTATCCAAGTAAGATGACATTGTTGGCAACTTAAATCTTTTCTCCAACTATTATGATGTTGTTTATTGGTCTAGTAGTGAGGATGTTACAAACTTTAGGTGGAAAAAAACCACACTTAGAATTGTTTGACCAAATTGTGTGTATAATCCATTTTTAGTACAGAAATACGTAAAGGCATTGGACTTAGCCAGCATGCAAGAACAGGTGTGTCTCCACCACAGACTCACCTCATGTACACCCATAGACATCATCTGTAACTCAGGTCTGAATCTAAGGCATCGGTGGTGGCCTCACAGAGACCATGGGGTTCTAAGCAGTCCAGGTGCCTCTGGAGGGGGAGCCTCCGTGGGACAGTCCCAGATGTGGACTTCAGTGTAGTAGTCTCATCTGTGGCTGGAAATGGTGATTAGGCTGTGTCCGTCACATCTTGCTTCCACACAAATTCCTCTGTGTAACCAGTGCCCAGAGCACAGCTGACCTCACAGGTGAAGATGGCCAGGATGCCCCAGTCGATGCTGCGGCCCAGGCTGTCGGCCTTGAGCAGATTCAGTAGCTGTGGCATGACCTAGGAAGAGGACAAAGGGTGAGACTAGCACTGCTGTCCATGCTGCGGATGCCCTATACCCTCTAATACTGTCCACCCTGGGGCCCTCCTTGCTGCTTGCCTCATTGGTTACCCACTGGGAGAGAGCTGTGGCTTCTATTTAGGCAACTTTTGAGATCTGAACAGCAGACATTATTCTACCTGAAGAAATTCAAACGGGGGTGGATATGGGAGAACACTGATGCCTGCGGAGACAGGAAGGCTTTCAAAGGCTGGCAGTCCACTCAGAGAGGAACAAACAGCATAGAGCTCTGCCCCATGTCTGATGGCACTTCTAATAGCAGCACCTGAACTCTTTATCCATAGAAATCAACAAGTTATCTTTTACACATTTCTACAACCCTGCTTGCTGAAACTGAGGAGGACCTCATGCACTTGCTGCGAAGGGTCAAGGACTGCAGCCTTCAGTATGGACTAAGGCTCAATGTCAAGAAGACAAAGATTCTCGCCACTGGACCAATTAGCAGCGTCAGGATGGATGATGAAGAGATTGAGAGTGTTCACAGCTTCAGTTTGCTCGGCTCCACAGTCAACACTCTTGGTACCAGCAGTCAGGAAATCAAAAAGCGTATCGCGATGGGAAAGTCTGCTGTTAGGGACCTCTCTAAAGTACTCAGGAGCAACAGTGTCTCTCTGGAGACTAAGGTGCGCCTGATACAGGCCATGGTATTTGCAATCACTTGTTATGCATCACAGAGCTGGACAATGACTAGGGAGGACAGAAGGAGAACTGACGCCTTTGAGCTGTGGTGCTGGAGAAGAGTATTGAATGTTCCATGGACTACCAGGAAAACAAACAGATTCATCTTGGAGAGGATTAAACCAAGCTACTCCTTGGAGGCAAGGATTCTGGGGCTTCGTCTGACATACTTTGGACATGTTGCCAGGAGGGACGGGTCCTTGGAGAGGGACATCATGCTTGGGAGGGTGGAGGGACAGCGCAGGAGGGGAAGACCCTCTATGAGATGGATTGATTCGGTGACTGGGGTAATCGGGATGGGTGTGTCAGAGGCGGTGCGGTTGGCGCAGGATAGAGCAGGGTTTAGGGCTGTTGTGCATAGGGTCGCTATGAGTCGGAAACGACTCGACGGCACATAACAACAACAACAATTAAAGAATCTACAACTCCAGGGAGCTCTGGTGGCCTGAAGCTGTACTGTAACCCTTAAGGCAAGCAGTTCAAATTCGCCAGGTGCTCCACTGGAGGAGGGGCAATCTCCTGTGCCCAGTCGGATCTGACTTAATGGCACACGACAATAAAGAAAGAAAAATCTACAACTCCATTACCAACGTGTTACAGGACACCTCAACCCCACAAGCCAGATTTCAGTACATGGGTACACCCTCAACTCTACCACACGGGTGAAAGACATCCCAACTCCACCACAGGACATCCCCACATGCCTGGACGTCAACACGTACATGTATGTGGTACAGGGAACCCTAACTCCACCACAAGGTACCTCGAGTTCGCCACACGGTTGCAGGACACCCCAACACTATCAGAGTACCTCAACTTCACCAGATGGCTATGGTGGTGGTGGTATGTGCTGTTGAGTCACCTACAACTCATAGTGCCCCAGTATACAAAAGTTTTGACTCCTGCCCTATCCTGAACCAGTCTCATTGACTCCAACATACCTAATCCCATACCTGACCCAGTGACCGTGTCAATCTATCATCCAGGGTCTTTCTCTCCTGTGCTGTTCCTTCACCTTTCCAAGCATGATGTCCTTCTCCAAGGACTGGTCCCTCCTGGCCATGTGTCTAGCACGCACAGGGCATCTCCACATGCCTCAGTGTTACTCTTTTAACTTTGGTAAATTTTATTATTTTTTCATGTTGGTAAATTTCAACTTTGGAAAGGTAATTAGAGTGATTATACTTTTGAGATCATACCTGGAATTCAAATAGTCTCTTTGAGCCACAAGGACAATTTGGAATATCCTCTTCCTGAGGGACATTTTCACCAGAAATCCAGACAGGAACAATTCCACGGCCGTATCTGAGAATCTGAAATCAATCAAGGTCAAAGTCAGATGTCTGTACCTCTCACCTCCCCTCTCAGACACTACAGAGGGGCATACATGGAGGGCCAAGATGGAGACACATTACAAAGGACACCACTGGAAACATCCAGTCCTGCTATCTCAAGAGCTTACTGATCCAAAGAATGGTGTTGATGTGGCCACCACAGCTGCCTGGTGCAAAGGACAGCAAACAGGGACACTAGACTACAAGGCTGACACAACAGTCAGATTTCTTCCACACATCCCAGGGAAAAGGCCTAGTCCATCTGTTTACTCATGGCCAGCCCTATTAAGGGGTGACCTTCAGACATAGAACCTCAGCTAGAAACTCAATGAGTGCCCAGGGACACATAGTGCCTGATTAAAATTAGAAAGCAGGTAGACTTGGTGATAAATAAACTCCGAATGGCAAAACATGGACACCACGGAAAACCACCCGAGTGTGGGGCCAGACCTGTCCGAGGGAACCAGAGGCTTGCCCGTGTGAATTTTGCTGTATTCTCTTCAGTATTTATGATGTGAACAATTAAAGAACTAATTATAGTTAACATTGAGAAGAATGAATCCCAGAATACTGAATTGTGCTCCTAAGAAACCTATACTTAGACCAAGAAGCTGCTGTCAAAACAGAACAAGAGTAGACTACATGGTTTAAAATCAAGAAAGCTGTGTTTCAAGGGTATGTATTCTCTTCTTCGCCACCTATCTCTATGCTCTTGGTTCCTGCCATATTTAATTGTATACCATCAAGTTAGAACTGACTCATACTGACCCTCTAGCGGGTTTTCAGAGGCAATAAATTGCATGGGAAGAGATTGCCCATCCTTTACCCATGGAGCAGCTGGTGGATTTGAATCATGTGCCTTTGGACCTGTAGCACTTTATCAGTAGGCCACCAGAGCTCCCTACAGAGGAAGCACTACCCAGGGAGGCAGGGAGCTAGGAGGATGGAATTTGAACCCACGCATGCAGAGCACAATGGATTAGCAGTCCTTAACCCCTCAGGCACCTCGTCCCACTGTCCTAGCATACAGTGAGCCCTAACAACCTTCAGTCTTTTCAGCTGTAACAGGACCACAGAAGAGGCTCTCACTGCTTGGAGGGACAAACTAGTTACCAGTCACCAGCACACCTATGGACACGCCATGGTACACCACAGCAAGCAGGAGGTGTCTCAGCTTACCTGCTCAGGTTCAGGGGCTATTCGGGTTTTAAACTTCTGGAAAATTTTGTCTTCCTTCGATTCATGCTTTGCCATGGATTCCAATTCTTCCTCAAGTGCATCATCTGAAAGATCCTAACAGTTATGCAAGACAGGGTCCATAACACGACCCTCTACCCCAAGGCACAATTTTCAAAATGTTTCTGAAATCCCCAAAAGCAGGGAGATGACCCATAGACTTTCTGTTTTCCAGCATGCCTTGCTGGGAGACCCAATAAGCCCTTCTAGGGAGAATTTACCAGCTGTTTCTCTGCCAGTCTCGGGGGCCCTGGACCTGCTGACTTCCAGTGTTGGACGACCTGAATCTGCTCTGTTCTAGGGGAAGAACCTTGTCACCTCCACTCCAATCCTTGCCCATCACATGGCTCCTATCCTCCCCTTTCTGCTATTCTTGCTGCTGGCTTAGTCTGCTGATTCTAACCACAGGTGTAGAAGAATTTACAACACATGTCGTGTGGAGACAGTTTCTGTATCAGCAGGGCCATGCACAGTTCTCCCTCTCAGAACAGGTTTAGAGGGCACACTGAGACCTGAGAGTTTTCTAGTTCATAACTTTTGAGTGTTATGGCCACTTTTAGTTACGTTAAGATATTCAGCAAACCTGCAGAGCAAAGCTCATTCTAGGTTCAGTGTCTAGCAGTGAACCGTCTTCCCTTCAAGGCTTCGACAAAAGTCTTAAAGTGGTTTCTCCTTTGTGGAAATGAGAACAGTAGCACATGTGCTTGTGCTGTGCTGTCCTGGGCCCAGGCACCTGTCCACATCATACAATAGAAGCATGTGCTGCAACATTATGTCCTAGCACCAAGTGCTGAGAGGAGGCCATGTGTCCAGGCACACGCCTGTCATGGAGGCAAGGTCATCAAGTGACCTCTAGCTTAATGACCATGGCAGTCACAGCTCTAGCTAGTAAGTGCTGACTTCAGCCCCAGTCCTAACCCATCAAGTTATCATGATCACTGGAACAACAGTACCTGACTGTAAGACAGGCAGCATTTCCACATGGACTGCCGTTTAGGAGGCCTGCTCCGGCGCAAGTGTGCAGTAAGTGCTCTGAATATTTCCTCCATCTTTTTTTGTTTAAAATTGTTTTGTTTACATCATTTCATTCATATACAATGCCTTCTACATTCCTGCCATCTTCTTTGGGTATTTTCTGGATCATTCAAGATTTTGCCCATAGCACCCCTAAGGATGGCAACCTGAATTTGTTTTATAGTTCTTTCCACTTGAGAAATGCTGAGAGTTCTTCTCATTTTATTCTCCAATTCTAGTTCTCTGAACATTGCGTTGTAATTCTTTTTTTTCTTGCAAAAGATTACTTTTTATTTTTTCCTTTTTATTACTAGTATTATTATTCATTTCAATGAACATCTATTGAGATTTTGGAATTTCATTCATTCATTCTTGCACTTTTCTCCCCACCCAACTCACCACCACCCCCACCCCCAGTTCGCTCCTCTCCTTGAAAAGCAAAAGAAAAACTCCTTCATTGGTACACAGTCGTACCCCCCAACACCCCGCACATCTCCACTCCCACCCCAAGTATACTCCACTCTGCAACCCTCATTCTGGACTCTTATGATAATCATAATTCCCTAAAATATATTAATTTTAAACTATTCTCTCCCTCATCGGCTTCAATGCAAATAAACATAATTTATCCAGTTTTTCTCAGTCTTACCCCCACCCCAATGTCAGCCTCATTCTACAACAGTGGCACCATATAATATTTGTCCCTTTGTGACAGATAATTCACTCAGCATAATGTCCTCCAGGGTCGCCCATTTTGAATAATATTGCATGAGTTCCTTGTTTTTCAAAGCAGCATAGTATTCCATTGTGTGAATATATCACAGCTTCTCTATCCATTCATTTGTTGATGGGCACTTAGGTTGTTTCCAACTCCTTGCTATTGTGAACAAAGCCACAATAAACATGGGTGTGCATATATCTGCTTGGATGTCATTTATGGTCTCTTTAGAGTATATTCCCAGTATTGGAACTGCTGGGTCAAATGGTATCTCTATTTGCAACTTTTTGAGAAAGCACCACACCGCTTTCCACAGTGATTGCACCATTTTACACTCCCACCAACAGTGAAAAAGGGTTCCAGTCTCTCCACAACCTCGCCAGCATTTGATGCTAGCTGTTCTGTTTAATTTTGCTATTCTTACTGGGGTTCAACGATATCTCATGGTTGTCTTGATTTGCATCTCTCTCAGAGCTAGGGATTTTGAACATTTCTTCATGTGCTTGTTAGCCATCTGAATGTCTTCTTGGTTAAGTGTCTGTTCATATCCTATGCCCATTTTTGTATTGGATTATTTACCCTTAAATTGTGGTGCTCAAGTAGTTTATAAATTCTAGATATAAGTCCCTTATCTGACATGTCATTACCAAAGACTTTTCCCCAGTCTATAGCTTCCCTTTTTACCCTGTTGGAGAAGTTTTTGGATGTGCATAGGGATTTGATTCTTAGAAGGTCCCATTCATCTATTTTATCTTCTCCTGGTTGTAAAGCGTTGTAATTCTTTTAACTTCTGGAAATGCCCTTTGAAATCTTCTGTCCAGCTCTTTTATTTAAGCATCCCTTGCCTTTGTTTTGGTTTCTTGACAATTTAATGCAATTTTCAGGATCTCTGGGTCTCTTCTGACATCCACTTTGGCTTTCTCTTACTCCTCTGTCTTTTAAGTGATCGCCTGCTCTCTTCATGGATGATAACCCTGATGTCATCCTATAACTTATCTGGTCTTCAATCACTGGTGTGCAATGCTTAAAACCTATTCTTGAGATGATTTTTAAAATCAGGTGAGACAGAACTTTAGTTCTCATGGATTTGTTTAATTTTCCTCGGCTTCAATTAACTTGCACAAGTAATTGATGGTAAGCTCCACAGTCAGCATCTGGTCTGGTTTTGACAGCTGATATTGAGCTTCTCCAACAATTTCTTCCACAATCTGATTCCTATTTAGTCCATCTGGTGAGGCCCATGTGCAAAGTTGTTATTTGGTTTTCTTTCTTTAAAAAAGGTACTTGTGATGAATCAGTCACTAAATGTACAAAATATTTCTAGCTTCATTTCTGTCGCCAAGTTCCTCCTTTTCAATTACCCTTCCTTCTTCATCCATCTCAATGTCAAGAAAACAAAAATCGGTTTCCCTACAGCCAGGAGAGTCTACCTGTGCAGTTTCAGCAGGTCCCAGACGCTGGAAGTGCTATGTCAGGACCAATGGGAAGGTGTTCAGTTTTCTCAATGCAAAATGCAAGTTGGCATTCCCTTCCAAAAGTAACCCAGGGTGGTTAAATTGGGCTGTCCTCTCCAGAAGAAAGCACAAAACAGCTAACTGGAATGAATTCAAAAGAACCTGCTGTGCAGTCAATTCCAAAGGGCCCTCACTGGTACATCTTTTGTAGCTGTAATGGCCAAGAGGAGCCAAAAACCTGAAGTTAGAAAGGCTCAATGAGGACAGGTTCTCAAGGCCACCAAAGAAGCAAAAAAGGCGATAAAGTACCTAAAAAGGCCGCAATAGCTGCCACCGAGGCTCCCATAAAAGCGGCTCCTACCCAAATAACTGTGAAGCCTGTGAAAGTCTCTGTTCCCCGAGTTGCTAAATAAAGATCCAATTAAAACTCTAGATTTTTGATGTTTTACTCTCAGACATTTTTGCATGAATTGGAAATACCTGAAAAGTAAAAAATAGGCAATAACCAGGATGTTAATTTTGCCGTGTTACTTAGTATCCCTTTTAATAACTGGTGGTTAAGCTAAAGATGCTAAAGCCCTGTTCTTTCAGTAAAGAGAGCTGTACTATCAACCACTAGTTATGTGTTAGGTCCAAGCGTTAGACCGAACCATAGTTAAATTACCTAAACCTCTTGAAAAATTTGTAGTATGACTGTATCCTGTCAAAGGTAGAAAATTTTTGAGACTAACTTTTGAATGTTCTAGTAGGGGCAATGAAAGAAAAAAAACATCCTCGCCACTGGACCAATAGTCAACAATATTATACGTCAAGACAAGACAGAAACTGTTAATGACTTCATGTTACTTGGATCCACAATCAGTCTGGAGAGCAGGAGACGTACTGCACTGGTTAAGTCTGTGGGCAGAATCTCTTCAAATTACTGAAGAGTAATGATGTTAGTTTGAGAACTAAGGTGCACCTGATTCAGGCTATGCTCTTTTCAGGCACTTGTTATGCATCTGAGAGGTGGACAATGAGTAAGAATGACAGAACTACTGATGCCTTTGAACTGTGGTGTTGGAGAAGACTAATGAATATCCCTTGGATTGCCAAAAGAACACCTAAGTCTTTGAGAAGGTACAGCCAAAGTCCTTTTTGGAGCCAGAGATGATTTAGCCTCATTTCTCATACTTTGGGCATGTTGCTAGAGAGGCTACTCCTTGGAGAGGGACATCATGCTTGTGAAGATGGAGAGACAATGAAGACGACTATCTTTGACCCGATGGACTGACTGCAGTAATGGACTCAACTATGTCAGAAATTGTGAGGATGGCATAGGACAGGATTTAGATCTGTTGTTCCTAGGGTTGCTGAATTGTACTCGACGGCACTTCAATAGCACAGAAGCAGGAAGCAGCATGTGGATTGCAGCTATGAACATACCTCCCAGTGACTACCAGAAACTTCCTAGGCGGAAGGGAGGGAAACTTTCATTAGTGTTCCTGTCGCAGGCCAGAGCTGTGCTGGGTGCCTACAGGACCTCCAGGGTTGGCCCTAGAGCCAGGCGCGCGCGCGCGCGCGCGCACACACACACACACACACACACACACAGGATCAGCTATCCTCAGGCCTGTCTCCACAGAGACCTAAATCTGATATGGTCCTGGGATCAAGAATACATACCCAGGGTCGGCTGACCCCTTGGACCTGTCTCCACAGGGCTAACATCTTGGATGGCCCCAGGGCTGAGTGCATGCACACACAGGAGGGTCTTCTATCCCCAAGCAAGGAAGAAGCCCTAGCACTGGTCAGAGTTTGCAGTCTCCACGTTTGAAGACCAGAGAGCTTCCCTAGGGACAGTGTAGAACCACTTGATAAGTGAACTTCTGAGACTGAGACCTTACCCATACTCTCCACGGGCTCCATCTCATCTTTCTCTTCTGGAACTTCAGGAGGGAACTCATCTTCCATTTCTATTACAATCTCATATTCCGGAAAGAGAAAGTTGTGGTCTGGAATCGAATCATCCAAATCACCTACAACAAAATTTGTGGGTATCATTAACAGTCGGTTTTTTAAACACAATCTAGTCTTTTCCTGTTCCTGACTTATCACAGGCTCTAGCTCAACAATACTCCTCACTCACAATACAGAAACCTGCATTACAGGCGGGCGAAACATCATGAGAAAATAGCTGTGACAGGGGCAGGCTGGCAGTGTAAATGAGTGCAGTTAAGTGGAACCTTGGAGGCGCCCAGTTCTCCTCCTCAGTCTGCCTCTTCATCTCTCACAAAGATAAGGACATCAACACACATTCATCCACCTTAAACACCAGCAAGCAAAGAAAGGTGACTGCCATGGTCCAAGAGACCTTCTGTAGCACTGCCTGCCTTTCTCTGTAACAGCATCTCTGCTCTTATGTTGTTAGGTGCTGTCGAGTTAATTACAATTCACAGAAACCCTTATGGACAACAGGTCAGAACTTGCCTTATGTTACCCAATGCTCACAATCTCTTGTCATGCTCAAACCCACTACAGTAGTCACTACAGAAATCCATCCAGATGAGGGTCTCATTCACTGACCTTGTACCTTCCCCAGCCTTTTAGGTCTCTCTGAAAGGACTGATTCCTCCTGAGAAAATGCCCAAAGTGAGTGAGATGAAGTTTCACTAGCCCTGCCCCTTAAGAAGCACTCTGGTTGCACTTCCTTCAAGACAGATTTGTTTGTTCTTTTAGCAGTCTGTGGTAGATCCAAGACTCCTTGCTAACAGGATGATTCAAAGGCATCAATTTTTCTTTGTCTTCCTTATTCATTGTCCAACTTTCATATGCGTAGGAAGCAACTGAGAAGCCCATGGCTTGGAGTGGGGCACAACCACACAGCTCCAGCATTCACACCCTTAGCTGGTCTTGTTACCAAGCATGACTGACGAGATCAAAGTACAATGGTTACTGAAACTTCCAGAAAGTACCCTCACAGAGAAAGGGCTCTCTTGTGCCCACTTTCCCCAATCCCTGGAGTTTCAACAGCAACTTAGGGCCATGAGCAACATGGAGAGTAGAGAGAGAGATGCAAGGAGTGTTTTCAACACTGTGCTGACGCTCATACTGGAAAACCAAACTCCATCTTATGCAAGTCTCAATGATCTTGCCTCTTTTTCAGTCACTAGCTCGTATTAGGAGGAATACCTGCAGTGGGTGACCAGCTAGCACAGGCCTGTGCTTAGTAACATTTGCGGCTAAGAGGGAGGTAAGCCCAGCACTGCAGGTCCTGTGTCTTTTCAATAAGTCAAGAGGCTTGGCCCCTCAAATGGAATCTGCAAGAAGCATCTTGTGGGCCCACATATCTTCTGCACGTGGCTCTGAATGTGTTTGGCCACATGCTTACAAGCCATTCTATAGAAATGGGAGGAGGGCTGAAGAGCATAAGACCCTCACACTTCTCTAAAACAGCCTGGCATGGAAGAGGACACCCCCAGAAAGTAGACATTATAACAGGACAACTTCTTTGGAAATGATTTCACCCATTCCCATTGAGTGGTGCCTAACACCTTCAGGCAACTGCGATAAATAAGCCTGGCAAAGCACATGGCACTATGGCTTAATGATTTGGGGCACTGACAGAGAACAGCTCTAATGTGCTCAGAACCACCATTTCTACCTCATTCATGATGACCCAAGTGTTTAATACCACAGCTGCCAACACGGGGCATCCTGGTTCAATGCGGACTTAGAGGAGGATGTCCAAGCCGGACCCAACCTGTCCACTAGCAGCTGAGTGCATCGGCCACTTGTACCCTCATGGATGCAGTCTGTTAGTTTACTCTGATCACAGTCACTGCATGAAGATCCTTTTCCTTCTTTTCTTGCTATAAACCAATCTTATTCATCTTCAACAAGCCTGTCATCGCTCATCAATACTGGAGTTACTCTGACATGAAGGAAAACTGCCAAACTTTTCAGTGAAACATAGCATTTACAAAACGTGTAATTATAATTTCAATTTAAGAAAAATCCTTCTGTGTATGCACAACCAAGGAGAACAGAGGAAGAATGGGATTTTCTTTCAAACATACTTTTGAATTTTCTGCATTTCTTTACAATCAGAAAGTTCTGACACATAAAAATATACACTATAAAAACTGTCTTCTCAACTTTGTTCATATTATAAAATTAGTGACAACAGTAATGTCAATACAGCATAGTTCTTCAGTATCCTCTATGTTATGTGTAGGACATCAGCCCAAGGGTGTGGGTAAACTGAAATTAGAAATAAGTGAAATGTTTTACATCCTCAAGAAAATATGAAGAGTGTATCACTTTGTTCCTATCATGTTTTATCTCAAAGATGAGGTGATCTGCAAGCAAACCCATCAGGACAACCATAGCTACCGCCCATGAAGCACTGGTTGTCTTATTGATAGATGTCTGTAATGTGCAACCTCTCTTCTCCTGTCTCGTTCAGTGATGGGAGCCCAGGGCACTCACCTGCCTGTGTGCAAGCGTGCCGGTGCCACCTCCAGTCCAGTGTCTGGTGCTCCTTGCTGCAGTAATGTGCCTTGTGGCACCGGGAGCATGTCTTGGGGGCGAAGCAGCCGCATACTCGGCAGAGGTGAGCACCGGACTTGAGCTGGAGAAACACAGGTTCTTCGGTTTCCATGGGAGGCTCCTCACAAGGGGGATCATAAGAGTAAAAGTCGTTCTTCCGGGGAAGCTGATTCCTGAAAACTAAGGATATGGATTGAAAAAAGCACAATAAACAGTCGAAACTCCACTCATTTAAAGACATTTACTTAAAAAAGTAAAAGAGAAATAGAAGATTTTCCTCAAAGGAAGTGAATTATCTAGAATTGGGGGGGGCGGGGGAACCAAACAAATAAAAAAAAAAAGAGTAAGACATTTCTAAACTCCAGAAATTCAATTGCATGGATGGGAGTTGGCTCCAGGTGTTATGTCAAGTTAATGGAAATAACAATGAAGAAGACTGGTCATTAGCAAGATTAATAGAACCGAAGAAGCTATTGGAGCTTACTTTTCTGAAAAAGGACACTTTTACTATATTGAATATAACAATCCTCATTTAGTTTTCACCGATTATGAATAGCTGCACATTATTAGTTTTCTTCAGCTTCAACTTGAACATGCCCATGAACAAGAGACTGTTCCAAACACTGCCTTGCACTGAAAATTAAGTTTATGAGAGATAAAATACAACCTTGAGCTTATACCACTTGAGTTTAGAAACCATCTCAAGAAGAAATTTGATACACTGGACATTAATGAGTGAAGACTAGTTTGTGGGATGACACCAAGGATCTAAGACATGAAGAAAGTACAAATTCACTAAGAAAATGGAAAAAAGGAATAAAAGTCCAAAATGGATGTCAGAAGAGATTCTGAAACAAGAACTTATGTTCTTGAACATAGTGAAAGTACAGCAAATGGAAGAAATAAGATAGATGAATGGAAGATTTCAAAGAGTAGCTTGAGAAGACAGAGCGAAGACTTGTTACCAAAGACCTGGAGTTAGAAAACCAAAAGAGAAGAGCACAGTTTGCATTTCTCAAGCTCAAAGAAATGAAGAATAAAATTCAAGTCTTGAGGTAAAATACTGAAACTACTATGGAAGGAATATAGTCACGGTACCAGAAAGAATTTGTTGACGCTCACTCATTTCAAGAGGCAGCTTATAATCAAGGACCAACAGTACAAAAGGAAGAAGTCCAAGCTGTACTGAAAGCCCTGGCAAAAAACAAGGCACTAGGAATTGACAGAATATGAACTGAGATATTTAATAGTTACTGCCCTACATGCACTTGTGAATGCCAAGAAAAGCAGAAGAACTAGTCAACTGAATGGAAGAGCTCCACATCGAAAAGGTAGGTGATCCAGCAGAATGTGGAAATTATAGACTATCATTACCTTGAGGGTACTCTGGTGATGCAGTCCATAAGGGACTGTGCTACTCACTCAAAGGTCATGCCTCCTTGGCATCTCAAATCCAACAGTGACTCTTTGGGAGAAAGATGGGAAATCTCCTCCTGTGTGAGTTACAGCCTCTGAAAAATCCGCTGAAGGGTTAGCTATGAATCAGTTCTGACTCAAGGATAAGGAGACTATATTAACATTGCATGCAAATAAGATTTTGCTCAATATTGGAAAGATTGTTTTAGGAAAAGTGTTTTTTAAAAGGATCCCACTTTGTGGGTTACAACAAATTACGATTATATCACAACAGAGAAAAGCAAAACAAAATCAAGGATTTCCTTTTACTTGGATTCACAGCATCCATGGAACTAGCAGTAAAAATGAATTAAGCATTCTGTTGCAAACCAAATCCACTGTTGTTGAGTCCAGTTCAACTTATGGGAACTTTCTTCTGGCTTTTGAAGCTGTAAATCTTTACAGGACGCTGTCCATCTTTCTCCCAGAGAGTGGCAGATGAATCCAACTATCAACTCTGATTATTTGCCCAACACAATACACACTACACCCAGGGGGCTCCTTATAGGCAGCAATGGACTTCAAAATAGGGAAGATGCTACCCGATGCACCAACGTGTGGCCGACCCAAGTTATGACATTTTAAAGTGCCTCACATGCATATGAAAACTGGACAGTGAGGACTTAAGACCAAACTGTGGATGAATGGCGGTGCTGCTTAATATACTACAGACTGCAAAGAAAACAAATCTGTCTTGTACTAAGTACCAGCTCCTCAGAGGCAAGGCTGGCGAGACTCCACTTCATGTACTTCGGGCATGGCACACAAAGGAAACATGCTCGGTAGCTAAACAGAGGCAGGCCTGCCGGGCGCCGTCCTCCCCTCAGGCAGATGGACTGACAGTGGGTTCAAGCAGCAAATGTGCGGGAGGAGCAGGAGCTCATTCTCTCGTATACGGCGCCGTTACCAGGCAGAAACAACCCGATGGTACTAAAACAGCAAAGGCACAGACGCCTCTGGACGGGAAGCCAGCAGGTCCGGGAGAGGCACACGCTGTCCAGATGAGTGCTGCTGCCTCTTCAGCACTGCACCTCTCGCGCTACGTTCCAAATACGACAGAAACAAAAGAGCCCGGTCGGTGGGGCCCCGTGAGGATCCCCCGGGCCTCGCCGACCCCAGGCCGCTCACCGCGCAGGCCGGCGCAGCACGACGGGTCGCGGCAGCAGAAGAGGAAAAGCGCGCGGTGGAAGGCGTCGGCGCGACCGGGCAGCGGGGCGTACAGCTGCAGCAGGAAGGCCGGCGGGCGGCCGCAGAGAGGACAGGACAGCGCCCGGGGCCCCGGCAGGCCCGCCTCGCCCAGCCACGCCGGCCGCCCTCCCACCTTGCTGGGAAAGAGCGCGCTGCGCAGGCGCCACGCGGGAGCTTCCTCGGCAAAGCCAAGCTCCACGAGCGGTGCCGGGAGCGCAGCCATGGGGCCCGAGACGCCACACCGGCCCACGGGCTCCGATTCCAGCCCCACGCTGGCAGACACCCCCGGAAAGCGGAAACCGAGCACCAGCCGAGACCGGAAAGACTGGGGGCGACGGGAGGTGATTGGGAGAGTCCGCACGGCAACCCGCCCCTCGCGGCCCGACTTCCGGCAGCGCAACCAGTGGGGGCGGAGCGGCCAGCTGCCACCTGGATGGTTGCCGATCGCGACGCTGTCTGCTGGCCGCGAGCTCGGTTAACGTTTTCTTATCCTAGAGTCCGAGTTACTACTGTTATTTGGGTTTTTTTCCCCACTGCCTTCATGTCGCAGCCTACCCACAGCTGACGCTCCAGATTCTTAGATTGTAACAATTCATAGATTGTAAATCGCGTCGGAGGAGATTGTCCGTCCTTTTCCTGCAGAACCGCTGGTGGATTCGAAGCACTGGAGGCGGGCAACTTTTGGGTTAGCAGCGCACTCACTTTGGACTGCTTTGTTGTTGTTAGGTGCCATTGATATGATGACGACTTTAGCGACCCTGTGAACAAACCGATCTGAACAGCACTCATGCGCTGTTCTCACCATGTCAGATATGCGAAAGCCCATTGTGTCAGTCCTTGTTTGAGGGTCTTTCCTTCTTTTACTACCTTTTTCAGCGTTTCCCAAAGACTTCTTCAGTATCTTCCAAAATACTTTTTCCAGTTTTTCCCTAAGACTGGTCCCTCCTGACAACATATCCAAAGAAAGTTTGATGGAAGTTTCAATACCCTTTAAGGAGCATTCTGGCTGTAGTTCCTCAAACACAGACTAGTTTGTTCTTTTGACAGTCCATGGGACTTTTCTCCAGCACCAGAGTTAAAAGGCATCAGTCCTTTTTCTGTCATCTCAAAAGCTTTGGGTGTGTTGTCAAGAATGAATGGTCGTAGGAAAAGGAGGACATGCTGGGAAAGGTGAAGGGTCAACAAGAGAAAGGAAGCCCTTTAAGGAGAAAGATGGAGGAAGTAACTGTAACAATGTCACAGAACATGTGACAGATGGTGAGGGTCTGTAATAATAGTATACCAAGCAAACAGTGCAAAAACGATGGCGATGTCTTTTTTTACTTTTATGGTGAGAAAAATTTGTATTTAGCCAGCCGGACCAGTTTAGATGGTCCCAATTTTGTAGGCAATATCCAAAGCATCATAATCAGGAGCAAGTCGAACATAGGCCTTCTTCTCCCCATCAGGTCTAATCAAGGTGTTGACCTTGGCCACTTCAACATCATAGAGCTTCTTTACAGCTTGTTTGACCTGGTGCTTGTTGCCTTGACATCCACAATGGACACAGTGTGTTGTTATCTTCTTTCTTCTTCATGGCTGACTCAGTGGGCAAGGAAAACTTGATGATAGCATAGTGGTCAAGCTTGTTACTCCTGGGGGCACTTTTCTGGGGATAGTTGGGCTTCCTTCTGAGTATCAGCGTTTTAGGCTGCCGCAAGGTGGGGGACATGGGAATTTTTGTGTGTGTGCCTGTGGATGCCCTTCTGAATGTCTTCTTGGCCTTTAATGCCTTTGCTTTCAACTTTAGTTTTGGGAGGGGGAGGGGCTTGCTTCTTCGATTTTGGCACCATCTTTGTAGAAAAAGCACACCCTGTCTTGATTTCTTAACTGCTGCTAACATAAGTTTTGATTGTGGATCCAAGTAAAATAAAGTCCTAACAACTTAATTTTTTTCTCCTCCAGCTCTTATCATGTTGCCTTTTGGTCGAGTGGTGAAGATTTTTGTTTTATTGGTGTTGAAATAAAATCCATATTGAAGGCTGTTGTCTTTGCTCTTCTGCAGTGAGCGTTTCAAGCCCTCACTTTTAGCAAAGAAATGAAACATAAGGTAGGTATGATCTATATTCTTTTCTATATAGTCCAACTCCTCAAATGATTTGCTCAACATATAGACTGAATAGATATGAATGAATACTGCAACCTGGACACACATCTTTTCTGACTAAGCCATACAATGTTTGTTTGCTGTGAAGGACCTCTCCAGAGTATTAAGCAGTAATGATGTAATTTGAAGACCAAGATGCATCTAATTCAGACCATGGTCTTTTCAATCACTTATTATGCATCTGGTCTTTGCTTATTAGTGTTCAAGGCCTTAAACCTGTTCCTGAGATGTTCTGAAGTTCAGGTGGTATAGACTCAAGGTCATATTTTGGTTCCCGTGGATTTGGTTTAATTTTCCTCAGCTTCAGCTTGAACTTGCATATGAGTAGTTGGTGGTCCGTTCCACAATCAGCTCCTGGCCTCATTTTCACAGCTGATATTGAGCTTCTCTAGCGGTTCTTTACGCAGATGTAATCGATCTGATTCCTATGCATACCATCAGGTGAAATCCATGTGTATAACCTGCGTTTATGTCTCTTCAAAAAAGTGTTTGCAAAGAATAAGTCATTGGGCAAAATTCAGTCATTCTCTCACCAGCTCCATTTCTGTCACTGAGTCCATGTTTTCCAGTTGACATATTTCAGCTAACAGATGCTGCCCAGGATGTGCTCACCAAGTTGTGCCAAGAAATCTGGAGAACAACTACTTAGCCAACTGACTGGAAGCGATCTATATTTGTGCCCATCCCAAAGAAGGGTGACCCAACAGAGTGAGGAAACTACAGAACAATATC